CTCGAAAACTCGGCCTAATGTGGACCGAAGGGTGGCCAAGTTTGTGAAAATGCCGGGTTATCGGGAATGGGGTTTAAAAAAATAAGTACGAGTGTTTCCTCAGAAAATACTGTGCTGTACTTGTATGTATTGTTTACTTAAGAATACAACAGGGAATAAACTGCCCAAATATCCTTAAACAAAGGAAAAGTACATCCTTTATGAAGGCATAGAGCCTTTACTACATGAAAATGAAAATTAATAAATACACTGTGTACAGTAATTTACCTGATAAAACAGACCTCAGAAAAATACTTTATGAGGCATAACGCTGTCTATAATGAAAATGAATTAACTAAGGATTTTTTTGCCCTGCCAGGGTGTGGCCGAGTTATCCGAACTGCTGGGTTATTGAGTGCCGAGTTTTCAAGACTCTACTGTAAAATAAAAATCTATGTAGATGGATAGATGACCAAGGTGTCTGGCTACCACTCTGTGGATCCAGGTCATAAACCTCAGGAAATTTTCCATATTTTTAGGTTTAGTTAAGTTAACTTAGTCTAAAAATAGCTTGATAATTCAGCCAATCTTTTCAATTTAATAGTAAACTGATTTAAAATAAAGACTTTTTTCTGTAACTCTGTTTGTTATCTTTGAAAATTAGACAAGAGTATATTAATATTTTTACTGTAAATTAAATAATTGATCACTCCGTAAAGATTTATCCATCGCTTTTGAATTACCCTGTATATAATTAAATGTAAATAATATAATTTCAACTATTTGAAATGACAAGAATTTTAGATTAAATTTAAAATGTTTTATTTATTATCAATATATTAAAACTATTTCAATTTACATTTTATATTTATTGATTATAATCAAAATTTCAGACAACACATAATATATTCTGATTAATTTTAAATAAAAAAATGCATATTATCTTTATTAAATAATATATCTAAATCTATTTTGCAAATGATTGTGTGTTACTAATCAGTTATCAAGTAACTGATTAGTAACACACAATCTATTTTATTAAATAATAATCACTTTTGATTCTCTGTTAGCACTAAGAGGCTTTTTTCATATCTATTACAAATTCTGCAAGACCCACAATACCAGATGATATGGGAGAGACCTGAGGCCTATCTGGGATGGACAATTAAACCCCTGAAAAATTCCTGGGCTTAATTGTCCAGATTTGATCTTGGATCTTGACGACTAACATCTTAACTACCTTAACCATCTGGCCATCAAATAGTGTTATTAATGATAAACTAGTTAAATTTATAAATATAGCTTACTGAACCATTGTATCAATCATAGGGATTCAGAGGCCTAACTATCTGAAAGCAATTATTATAAAAATTTTTATATTTATACATTCATTGGTTAATTTTAAATTTTACTTGTATATAGATATATTCTTTTAATTTAAATTTTGT